CTCCTTCTCCTTCTCCTTCTCCTTCTCCTTCTCCTTCTCCTTCTCCTTCTCCTTCTCCTTCTTCTTCTTCTGACAGGTGTAGGGATTGAACTCAAGGCCTTCTATACCATTCGAACCACAGCCCCAGTCTTTTTGTGTTTTTTCAGTTCGTAGAGTGTCTCATGTTTTAGCTCAGGCCAACCTTGGAACACAGTCCTTTCACCAGTTCCTCCTGAGTAGCTGGGATTACAGGTATGTGCCACCATGACCAATGTGAATTCCTTTTTTTTTGTTGTTAGTCATGGGGCTTGAACTCTGGGCCTAGGCACTGTCCTTCAGCTCTTCAACTCAAGGCTAGCACTATATCACTTGAGCCCCAGGGTCACTTCCAGTTTTCTGGTGGTTTATTGGAGATAAGTTTCACGGACTTTTCTGCCCAGGCTGGCTTTGAACTGTGAGCCTCAGCTCTCAGCTTCCTGATTAGCTAGGATTACAGGTGTGAGCCACCGGTGCCTTGTTGAATCACTGGTTTTTTATTGAACAGTTTATCTCTGTAGTTCTAATAGGTGTGAGTATTCAAAGAGACAGTATAGTGCTCCAAAATTAACAAATTCATTCAGCTTCTTTGTAGGTCCTGTAGTAAGAAGAACTTAACTTGTGCCCTTATGATTTTTCCATCTGCTTCTAGTTGTCAGCTAAATGTCTTTCCATGCAAAGACTTTCAACTACTACATGACTTTTTCTTGTTGATATTAATGTTTCCATCTGATGGTAGCTGAATTTGGAACTGACAGAGGAAAGGAATTGACAAAGGAAGAAGTGGGTGTTGAGAGAATTGTTTGTCCAAGAGCTTCATTTTATAGCCAGGTCTATCAGTTGTGTCTTCTGTGAAGAATTACATGAGACTTCAAAACACCCTCCCTTGTTACTCTCAGTTACCTCTGGGGCTTTCCCAGAGCTCTTTCTCAGTTTTATTATGGACCAGTGGTGCCTGTTTGAAAAATTCACTGCTTAGTAGATAACCCAACTAACTATAAATGGCCATCTGGTGCTTTTAAAAAATGATTTGTTCATCCATTTATCACTTGTTAATTCTAAAAAAAATGCTTTTTTTAGTTTATTAATTTCCATCTGTCAGATCTAGGATCTATAGCTCACTTTTGTATGTCAAACAAATGATTATAGAATGGGCAACATACAAATGAAATCGGACAAGACAGAAGCTTGATATGTATATAAACATGCAAAAATTTGAACTGGTGAAATGTAGACTATATCTATATGTTTCTGCCCATATAGTTGGTAAAGTCCAGCCAGAGAAAAAGATCTGTGGAAAGTTTGTTTTTGCTTCAGCCTTCTTCCTAGAAGAAGCATTATCAGAGCAAACTAATTCTTTCCTATAATACATAGTTGTAATTTTCAGTTTCTCCCTTTCATATTCCCTATGTCATCCTTGCTTCTAGTAAATGCTCATACTTTAGAATTCTGTGTCTTCCAGTCTGGGGACAGGGAAAAATATTTGTGATAGATGGTAACCTTCCCTGTTAATGTCCTTTTTGAGGTCTTAGCCTAAGAGTAACTGGTAGGAAGATGAGAAGGATGAGTGGGACTGACACTGTGGCTCCTGGTTTTTCATTTCTGTACTTACCCAGCCGATTGTTGCTCATCTGACATACTGGTTTGCAAAGAAATACTGGGAAAGACAGGGCTGCACATACACACAAGAAGTAGCTACATGGAGAGATGCTATCTAGGATACTCCTTTCCTCTCCTTTAGTTCCCTTTACTTTTTTGAGTCTTTCTAGCAGAGGAGGAGCAGGACAAAACAAAAGAATGTGCCTTTTAAGTTATTCCACCTAAGAATAAAGCCAAGGGAGCACAGCCTGGAATAGGAATGTACTATTTACCCTAATTAAAATGCAAGGAGGCTGTAGACACAGTGGAGCTGGGACAAAGCAACTGTGCTAGATCTCTTTTGTGGCATTTAAATGGTCAAAAGCTGTACTAGGGAGGGCAGAAAAGCCTGGGAGTTATTAGTCCCCACCCTGGTGACCTGGCTACTTATTTTCTTAACCAGGGTGACTAGATAACCATCAGCAACAATTTTTGGTGAGGAAAACAACTCCAGAGTTGTTTAAATCCATCACAGGAGCAACTTTCTTTTGAACTTTTAACTAGGACAGGATTTGAAGTGAATAGGTGCCATTATGGTTCATCTGGGGAAAGATTCATGATCTTTAGAAAAATATGATCAAAATAAAGTGAGCACCACAAAAGCCTTTTTATAACCACATATATGAGAAAAATCGTTCACCCATTAAAGTATGGTAGAGGCCAGATGTGGGATTCACCTCTTTGATTTAATAAGACCACTTTGAGTGGTCCAAATTAACAGTCTTGTGTTGTGGGGTAGGGATATCAGGGAGTGTCAGAGCCTTATGCTCTTGTCATACTTCCAGTCCCAGCTTTTTGTGGGTCAATTGGAGAATAGAGTCTCATGGACTTTGAACTGTAGTCCTCAGATCTCAGCTTCCTGAGTGTTAATATTACAGGAGTAAGCTACCAGTGTCTGGTTTTAAATAGTCGCTTAAGAAATGTGTGTGTGTGTGTGTATTTTTTGTCAGTTGTGCAGCTAGAACTCAGGGCCTGGGCACTGTCCTTGAGCTTCTTTGTGCTCGAGGCTGGCACTTTACCACTTGAGCCACAGCACCACTTCCAGTTTTTGAGTGGTTAATTGGAGATAAGAGTCTCACGGGGACTTTTCTGTCCTGGCTGGCTTTGAGCTGCAATCCTCAGATCTCAGCCTCCTGAGGTGTGAGCCACTGGCACCCAGCAAGAAATATTTTTTTATTAGAACTTTAAATGTCAAATACTTAAACCTAAGACTTAATTTGTCACAGGAATATGGTTCACATTTCACTTTGACGATATCTGATATAAAGTCATATAAGAAAAAAAGTCAAGGGCTGGGAAGGTGGCTCGGTGGTAGAGTGCTTGCCTTGCATGCATGAGGCCCTGGGTTCGATTCCTCAGCACCACATAAACAAAAAGAAAAAAGCCGGAAGTGGCGCTGTGGCCAAGTGGTAGAGTGCTAGCCTTGAGCTGAAGAGCTGAGGGACAGCGCCCAGGCCCAGAGTTCAGGCCCCACGACCGGACCCAAAAAAAAAAAAAAAAAAGAAAAAGAAAAAAGTCAAGAAATTGAACTGAAAACTTGTCTGCTTTACCCCAAGCTGGATGCCTCTGTGTAGAGCCACAAATGAAACTGTTACACGAGAACTAGATCAGCTAGATACGGAGAAGCCACACTTTTAGAGGTTAAATCGGGAGTTTTTATTAGAAAGCCAGCTACTACAAGCAGACTAGTGTCCTAAAGTACCTGCAGTGCCGCATAAAGTTTATAAAGGCAAAACCCACATCAAGGCAGATGCCACAGGGTATGGGGATTAATAAAGTGTGTTTACAGAAGCAAAGCAAGCCAGTTACGGGTTAAATAAAGGGGGAAGTTAGGGTTCAGTAGAAGTTAACTAGTAAGGACAACCAACCAGGGATAGATATTTACTGGAATCCAACAATATTAACAATCCGGGGTAAAGGATAGGGATTTTGTGGAGTCTAACAATGCATTACATATCTGCAGTTCTGGGAATGACCTATGCCCCATCTATAGTTCTCAGAATTGAGTCCCTTCTACCTATTAAAGGATTAAGATGGTGGTGGGGACAAGATGGCATTGCTTAGAACCAATATCCATATTTCAAAACAAACTTCTGACAAATTTATTCAGGTTAAAATTGAATCTTCATGTTGTTCTCTAAAGAAATATATATATTTATAAATATACTTATATATAAATGTTGAACATATATGTTAATTATAATATATTAAGTATATATATATATGCCAGTTCTGGGGTTTGAACTCAGGGCCTGGGCACTGCCCCTGAGCTTCTTTTGCTCAAGACTAGCACTCTACCACTTGAGCCATAGCCTCACTTCCAGTTTTTTCTGTTTATGTGGTACTGAGGAATTGAACCCAGGGCTTCATACATGCTAGGCAAGCATTCTATCACTAAGCCACATTCTCTCAGCTAAAGAAATTTTTGAAAATGAACCTAAACCCAGCTGGTTTTTTTATTCACATTGGGCCTATTAGTGTGGTGTTCCTGACATTTTCTAGCTGCAAAAATTTGAATAACTTAACTAAGGTATTATATGGCTCTAAAACTTCACTGTGCACCATAAAGAATATAGTGGTCAGCTTACCTGTCGTCTAAAGTCTTTTTAAAGATTCTCTGAGCAAGTCCTAACTTCATGTTGGTGTATTTTACGTGTTTTTGTGTGCTTTAAACTTTTGCAGCCAAGTGCTGGCACAAATACCAGTATACATACAAAAAGAGCAAAGTTCATCCTCAAAATTAAAAAAAAGAGACACTATTATCAAAAGAGGCTTCCTGTGCACTCATCTTATTCCTAGCCTTCCTCCTAGGATATGGCAGTTTTTTTGGTGAGG